CTGTATTTGTTAATGTTTTGAACTTTTAAAATATTGCATAGTAAAAACAGAAGCTTCACTTTATATTAGTGACAAACTTTGGTGTTTTTTGATGAGTTACTTTCATTTTTGCTTCTGCTTTTTATTTAAAATAAGTTTCCATTCTCGGTAGGTTTCTAAAGTTCTTCTTCTACATATAAAAAAAGTAGTTAAACATCTGAGTGGTGCACTACTGCTACTAGTGGTGAGAAAGTGTATTGCACTTTATTCAAAATCAATGCGGTCCCGCGGCCCTCTGCGGCCCAAAGTTAAACTGTTGTTCTTTTGAGGCCCTCAAGGTGGTGCTCACGACCCACAATTGGGCCGCAGCCCACGGGTTAAGAATCTCTTTAGAAAATTAAAAAAGCAGGCAGCTGACCCTGCAATGTTTGTGAACCCAAACGCCACACATTATTCCATTTCAAGTCCACAAAATTACACTTTAAGAACAAGCTGCTTCTACAGGTAATATTTAGACATTTGATGGATATTCATGCTGCATGTAACATATACTACTGTATCAAATTATACAGTTATTTGACACAATTAAAGAAGCCTTCATATACTGTAAACATTCATTTATTAACCTTTTTTTTATCTGACCAGGGAAACCTTCTGAGATTGCAAGACCCTCCATTGGCTGAAGGCAGTCTAACATGGACATGTTTGGTCTGTGAGAGGAAGCTTGAACAGGCTTTTAGCTAGAGGGGCTCATGTTGGGGTTTCTTTCGCCTCCTTTAGCTTGGCGATGACCTCAGCACACCATGCTGATCTTGTGGTTCCCTTAGATTTAACAGACATTTCAGTTTGCAAGTTGTTTTGTACCCCTCTGTAAATTTTGTAAACTTCATTAGTGGGGGTAGGGGGGTGGGGGTGAAGCCAGAGGAAGACGTGTAAAGAATAAATTGTTAGCTTTGATAGAGGCAGTGGTGGGTTGTGATGTTAAAACTTCAGCAACTTGTTGCCAGAAAGACCTCAGGTCCAATCCGGCAATCAAAACCAGGACCTTCGTTCTATGAGGCAACAGTGCTAATTATGGTCCATCAGAATTACACTTTTAACTTTCTAAAATCCCTAAAATGAAGGAACTTCAAGTGGGGTTGCCCCTGGACCCAAATGAGGACTTAAGTGGACCCTGTCCCATCAGCTTAAAAGGTCAACTTTTCCTGGCTACAGCCTGGTGAAAGTCCTGAGGAGACGTGTTCTATGTTCTGAGATGTTCTAGCATGAAATGTGAGTTTAATGCTAAAACAAAAGCTAAAGTTCTCATGAAGATGCTGCTGAAACTGATCAGTCATTCTCCACAGCTGGTATATTTGGAGGAAATGAGAGGGAAGCTACTACGTCTGAGAACACAGTTGTAAATGTGAAGCACGGTGGTGGCAGAATCATGATGTGGAGCTGTTTTGCTGCAGCAGGGACTGGTGAACTTCACAACATAGATGTTGTCATGAGGAAAGATACACAAAAAGCGGGAAAAACATCTTAAAGGGATACCTGATTAGTTGTAACATTAGACTTTATTTGATAAACATTTATTTTAACTGTAAAATAAAGACTGTAAAAATACTGTAGG